GGGTAGCTGTGTGATTTAATTGCTTCATCTGTAAAACAGAGATCATAACACATCCTATCTCAGAAAGTTGCTGGAAGGATTAAACGAAATTGAGTCTTTACAGAATTTTATCCAAGCTTGTAGCAGAGTAAACACTCAAATTATAGCAGCAATGATAATGATGAGTTCTATCAGAAGTGAAACACACACACACTCACACTCATCACTCAAAAAAGTTTCTCCAAGTTTGGTCTTGAGCTCTTTAATCAGTAACATTTCTTTCCATTTATCAGTAAGCAAGTTTTTCAAATCTCTGTTTACCTAACAGTAATCAGAAAAAGGAAAAATTAAAAGTGAAAAATGTAGTCACTGCAGCAAAAATTGTTTTGTCTAAATGACAGGCTAATCAAGTATATGTCAGTTTTCCTCTTTGAGGTATGACCTACAGTTACAAGCTCTTAAGGCCACAGCTCCACATTGTTCCAAAGAAGGCCACTTCATTGGACTGCCACAATTTTGAAATTATGTTAAATATGTGCAAATTTTGCAAGCAAAAATAATATTAGCTACGAACGATGGGTATTAATTTTATGTTAAAGGTTAGCACATCAAAGCCATTTATATTCAACAATAATTAGCATGTTTAAATACAATATAATTTTTAGTCATCTACAGCACGCTTAAATGTATGGAATCTCATTTATGTCTATAATGATGGATTCATTTTCGAGGCAGTCATTTTCTATCTTGATTTGTATATTTTAAAGTTGTTAAATGCTTGACTGAATCATTAGCAAAACAATTCGTGTATCATTAAACTGATTTCTACCATGAGATAATTTTCTTCCGTGTCCAATAGATGTGCCTTTTAAGATTTACTGAGATAGCTTTTATTCTTTGGAGGGTTTGGGGGTGGGGTTGCAGAGGAGACCTTACTAGCGAATTTCACTGACTTAAATCTCTCCTACCCACACATTCCCTTAAGAAACACAACCCAAAATGGTTTGTTGAATGAATGCTCAAACACACGGGAGAATGCATATTATACTAGCAAAGAAAACAGACCATAGGCAGTCTCCCTTTTAAGAGACCACAGAGGGAAAAGGGGAAAGATAAATGGATGAAGGTAGAGAACAAGAAATGCTGGGAATTTTTAAGCCTTAGTCAAAACAGGACTTCCCCTCCCCCCACCCCATCAAAGCCCTAGTATCTCCAACTTGGCAAAGGTTGTATTCCCCCCATCTCCCACACCTTCCCATCCATAAACAGTCCTGTTCCGCTCTTCTGGAGGATTGTAGCTAACGAGGCCTCGGAAGACCTGTGCGCACAGAGCAGGAGGAGGCAGCCGGGTTGCTGCAGTGCATGGGCCATGCCTGGCTGGAGCTGAAACAGTTCACTTTTGTCTAGAAAGCAGCCCCCCGCCCCCTCTCCGGCACCGCCCCGCCCCCGCAAGGTCGAAGAAAACTGGGGAAAGTGCAGTTCGGACTGCTTGGGCAGGCCCTGGGGGCTGCCTTTACCGGAGGAGGAGAAGCCTGGCCGGCACATGGCCCCTTCTCAGCCTTGACAGCCCCACACAGACCTTTGAACTTTCTATTTATATAACAGTTTAGTGAGTTTAAGTCTCTTCCTGTATAACTGCCCCTTTGCAAGCTTGCCTCTAATTAGGCTACTTGTGAGACATCACATAAAAACTACAAACAATTGATGCTGTCCCTTGCAGTGAGAAGGCAGCCACTGTCACAATCACTTAACTACAATTTTAACTAGGCTTTTGAACGTTTTGATTTTGCTATCATGGTGGTTTTCTTTTCTTTTCTTCTTTCTTCTTTTTAAGAATGTGTCCCTTTCTGTAATTTCTTTTCTTTCCTTTCCTTCCTTCCAATGAAGAAAAAGTAAGCATCCCCACAAACAACCTTGGCCTGTCACAAAGCAATACCTAATCAATACTGGGTGGGAGGTGCTAACAGAAATGAAAGGCTGTACATTTTGTAGGCCCTCTGAATCTGTTCCGCGCCCCCTCCCCACCCTTAACTGGGGATAAATGACATCATTACATGATCTTCAGTCACCTCAAGAATTCATTTACTTGGTTATCAAAAACAAGTCTATGGAATGATTTAAATGAAGAATTTGAATTTTAAAATTTATCTTTTTCTTTAAGAGCAAGTGACGTCTTTCACGCACACAGACACATCTGTGCCATCTTTTTTCTTTCACAGAATGGTTTATATTAAATTCAAACTCAGGTGAACATTGCTCATTCATCTGGGAATCCTAAAGAACTTGAGCTTTGGCCCTTTAATCGAGTCCAGAGCATGACCCATTAAGTTATTCTAGCAGTTTGTGAAATCCAGTGGTATGTTGCATTAGGCACGTGAGCATTCCCAAACACTGCACATAACATGCACACTGCAGCATCATTAGGATCCCATCCTTTCCATTTCCATTTATCCTAACAAATATGCATGTTTATAAATGGCCACATACTTTTTGTTTACTACAGTCAAGTGTTTGCAAATAACACATATGCCTGTGTATGTAAAGTCTTTCTTCATTATGTCTAGGAAAATGAGTTTGTTTTTAAGCTGTCCTGATCCATTTATTGTCAGACATCTAGGGTTGCAGTAGAGATAGCTCAGAGCTTACTGTTCCACAAGTGAATGTTAAGAATAAATCCAAGGTAAATAAGATCCTTAACTTTGCTGGTCTTTTTTCCTTACTTGGTCCTCCTTGGGGGTTGGGGGTATGGGGAGTGGAGGCCATCTCTTTAAGTAGCTATTTACTCCCAAGGAAGAGAAGTAAATATATAATGAACATATAACTGGCATGCTCTGGACTTCCAAAGAGAAGTGGGAAAGGTACCAATTTCTACTCAAGACAATGTCAAGCTTTTCGGTTCATCCACTATTGTCACATTTATGTTCCTTTTCTCTGTGGAGCCATACAAAACACAGAAGCACAACCACATTACAAATGTTTATAAACACAGATGCATAACGAAGTGTGCCACTCACAAGCAGTAAGAAGAGAAATTTTCCTGGATCATGTACAGAAGGAAAGGACAGGCTTATTTATGCAGATATGTTACACTAATTAATCAGTATTTCACATAATATTCACGAAGTGTCCAAGTCTATGCTTCTTAACTGATGTGGCTCAGTTAGGGACCTGGAGGAAAAAAAGGTTTTGCATTTTCCTTAAGATAAGAAAAGACAGCCTCCCACAAGGGGTGAGGGAGCATATCTTTTTTTTAAAGAAATCAAACATAAAAGAGTGCATTCCCTTTAAATATGCAATTGCATATGCATAAGATGAAACCAGAATTGATATAAAAAGCATGTTTCTAAAAACCTGATACCTTGTATATGTTTAACATTTGAACTATACCAATGAAATTAATTCTAACAATGTCTGTTAAATTAACGATGTAACCCACACCATATATTAGGCAAATTGTATGCAAATAGTAGTGCTATGGTTATCATCAGTTGACTGCAAAACAAATTAGGGAAACAGAGTAAAGGCTGTGTGCAGGAGCATAATATCTAATTGAGCAATAATTTTATTGTAATTTTTACTTTCAAATAACAGCATTTTTTTTTAAATATAACAATGTATTTCTGCACAGCAGATAAAACCGTGGTTTCAAAAACGCCTTATAGATTAATACTGATACAGAATAATTTGTGCTTCAAGGATTTACCCGGAATTGTTGTAAAATAAAATGTATTTAAGTTCTGATTATCTTGGATTTTCGACTAAAGGAGTCATGATTGGCATAATGAAGCTGTTGGCTAAGCGTATGACCCTTTTTTAAAGAAGGAAATTGCCTAAAATATCACATCAACAGGGGAAATCCTTGTAAAAATACATAGCATTCATAACCAACGGCCACGAGTAGTTAAACATTGCAAAATATTTCCCACTATTGGTAGGTACTACAGATCGTTTTAACTACATTTAAAAAGGGAATAACCAAGGGTGCAATTTTAAGTGGTTACCACTGGGCCCTCCCCTCAATCTAATTTCTTAGACTGCGGGGGCGGGGGAGAACGGATATGTTAAATATTATGACAAATTAACAGTGATAAGGTTTTCAGTAGGTGAAGTTTTTGAAAAGTTAATAGGTATGTATATCAGTATTTATGCACACGCGCATGCACATCTCTAAGAGAGTAACAACTTTCCGGCTCCCCAGTCACCTTTCTACCATCTTTCAAAATGTCTTGACGACAAGTTTAGGGTATATTGTGACGAGCTGACTGAACCTTTGAATCTGAGCTGGGTGCCCACTACACAGACCTACGGCTGCCTCCCAGTGGGAGCCCAACGTGGGTCCAGCCGGTAATTAAATGTTCACTGACAAGAGAGGCGGACTTTGGGGGCCAACTCCAAAAACCCTGAGTCTTGAAAGCCAAGCACCGAAGTCGGCCCCGAACCGAGGTCCCCTGTGTGGTGGCCCCCAAAGCCGCCGCTCCACCCCTGAGTGCAGGGAACTTGGGGTGAGTCGGCAGAAGGAAAGGTGTACGCGCAGCGCAGCGCAGGGATGGAGGTGGCGGCAGCGGGGGCGGTGGCCACCGAGGTAGCGACTGGCCGTTGTCTTTCCCCCATGGCTGGCCGCAGGCGTTGGGCACCTGGAAAGTTGAGGCATTTCGGGCGGGCGGCATCTGGGGCTGAGGGAGGCGAGACCCGCGAGCCGCTCAAAGAGAAAAGCTCCTGGGAGGTCGTGCGGTTCAGCCCTCCGGCGGCACCGAATTCGATGTGAGCCAAATGCAACTCTTCAGACTATGAGCGCAAAGCGACGCTTTCGGGTCCGCATCCCTCCCTCTTCCCACACCTCCCCCCACCCCAGCATCCGACCTAGGAGTCCGCGCGCCCGGGGCCAGAGGTGGCTGAGAGCAAGTGGGAGGGAGTCCGGGGCGCCCCCCACGACAGCTCCAGCTTCTCTTAACAAAGGCGAAAACCTGAGACTTAGCTAGGGGACTCGCTCATCAAAGGAAAAGGCAAAAATCAACACCTACCACTGCTGCTCCAAGTCCCAGTCTCTGAAAAAGTCGAATAGATCCATAGCGGCCGGGCGGCGGTGGCCGGCAGGCGCCTGTCCCTGCTCGCAGCGGGTCGGCGCGGCTCTCGGCACAGCTCGCAGGCGGTTCTCGGCGACCCGGCTCTCCAGCCCTCCCGCCCAGCTAAAAGTATCCGGGCCGCATCGGCAGCAGCGGCGGGCGCTGGAGGTGCCTGGTCCTGCGCTCTGGAGAGGCAGCGGCTGCAGTGGCACTGGGCGGGCAAGCGCCTGGCCGCCCACTCGGGTCCACTCGGTCCGCGGTAGTCCGCGCACCCAGCGCCCCGACGCTGCGGCGGTAGCCGCTGCGGGCTCAGGCGGGCTGGGCCGCCCGCCTGGCGGGCTGCGGGCGGGCGGCGGCGGCGGGGGCGGCCGGGGCAGAGGCAGCGGCGCGGCGCGGCAGCCGGGGCGGCAGCGGCGGCGGCGGCGGCAGCGGCTGCACAGGCGGCGGCGGCGGCCGCGGCAGCATCACACACTTACACACTCACAGGGGGCGGAGCCTGGACAGCTCGAAGCCGCGACATGGAGCAGGCACGTTATCATCCCCGGATCTGGCAGGGGCTCGCCGCGCCCGCCCCTGCGGTTCGGGAACCCCTCCTCACCCCGCACTGTCAAAATCAGCTATTGCGAGTGGCCGCAGAGCTGAGGACCCTGACCCTGACCCGCAGCCGGGACGCAGGGGCTGTGACAGGGATACAGGAGGTGGGCTGGCGGGACCGGGACGCGGGCTTGGGTAATAGGACCCACCCCGCCCCCCACCGCTAAGTTACTGTTTGGAACTAGAAAAGACAGCACAAACTGCTGTGGGGTTGAAGGTCGCCCCCTGCCACGCGAAACAGTCTCTGTCCGGAGACAGATCCTTGAGCCCCCCAGTAACGGTGCAAACTTTTGGGGGCCCAAGCACCCCATAGGTCTGTAGTGCACAGCACGCGGGTCCAGAAATGAGAAGGCGGTCACCTTCACCGTCCCCGTGGCCCCACGTGCCCGCACGCAGGCCCTCCAGGTATGCCTCTAGGCGGGCACCTAGTAGGTCAGCAAGCTGTAGGCCCTGGATTCAGTGAGCTGCAAGGATAGGCAGAAATGAATGCCCTTGTGTGGTCCTTGAGTTCGAGGTTGGGACACCGTTAAACTGGGTTCCACTGTCACTTTCCTTGCACAGTCACCAGGTGCCTTGAGCAAAAGACTTCTACACGCTCCTCCTCTGAGAAATGGGAAAACCACTGGGTATGTGCCCAGTATCCCACGCACCGGCTGCACGTCTCCCTTCTGGCCTGAAATTCTGTCTTTCTGCACGTGGAGGATTTAACCGAGCCTCCTCCTCCCTTCAACCTCCCCCACTGGTCCAGGAAGGGGTGGATCCCTTTGCCAATTCCCTGGAGGGAAAGGTTCCCTGGCCTCCCTGCAGAGAAAGGCATGTGGGAAGGGGCGGGGCCAGTTTCTGGCACATCAGGACCTGAGCATTCTGGAGTCCGAGGCGTCTAATTTGGCTTCTTCCTGTCGTTATACACAGGGATTTGTATTGGCACATTATTCAAATCCTAAGGCTAGAACTCTTTTAGGAAGGACAGTAGACTGAGCCCTGTCAGAGCAGGATGCCAGTACCTCTCTGTGTAACTCCAAGCAAGTCACAGTTATTTGGGCCTCAGTTTCCCCATAAAACACCCAGCAGCCCTCTGGTTCATACTGCTCTGACATTCTCCCTACTATCTAAATTATGTTTCTACAGTATTATCTCATACTGTCAAAATCATCCAAATAGCTTTTAACTTCATTTTTTTTCCAGAAGAAACAGGGGCCCCAAGACAGTAAAATGCTCAAGATCTGACTTTTCCCCGAGAGAGGGATCCGAGATTAGAACCTAGAACCTGGGAAGCTCTTCCAGGGCCGAAGCCAGTAGAAGTTGCCTCAGCTTTAACCATGAATGACTTCAGCATTTGAGCTACAGGGGGCCAAGGTCTGGTCTCTTTCACATTCTTTTATCGAAAAACAAAGCAAAAGCACATTAAGATAAAGGAACAAGGTTCTATGATTCTGCAACTCAGGCATCCAGTGGGGGCTTTGCTTAGATGTCTATTTATAGTGCATGGGACCAAGTCCTCAACAGATAGTGGTTGATCGATGGAAAATCAACCAGTGGGCAGCCAAGGGGAGACTACATCTCAAAGTGGCTTGTAGATTTGGCTACCTGTAAACTTCTCTGGTCAAAAAGACTATGGAGAAAGAGCTATTGGCAAAAATGGAGTTGCCGATTTTCAAATTATCTCTGTACCTTGTTTATTCAAGGAATTCTAGTATTCAGCCCTAGACCGTGAGCCCTTAAAGCAACAGGGACTGCCTCGCTCAGATCTGCGGCCCCCAACCTTTCTACCCTCAGTAAATGATCCTCGAATTGGATTTGATTGCTAGTAATGATTGTTGCCAGCATTAGTACTTGATCTGCTTGAAACTCCTTCAAGGAAAGCCAGAACATGTACGATTAACATTTAAATGGTGATTATGGTCACTTTATTTCTGGTTTACTTTTCTCACAAAATTGTATTTATTGGGGGAAGATAGAAAAAATAATATGCTAGGCAAACAAATTTTCAACAGAAATAAAGCTGCTCCTTTAAGAGTTCCAGCCCCCCATCACCCCACTGGTGCACTTTCTTCCCAATCAGCAGGAGGACCAAGCAGAAGCAGAAGGAGCCAGCAAGAGGCAGCACTCTGAACAGAAGTGCCTGCGGGAAGGAGAGAAGAGACAAGTGGTGCCGGCTGCTGCTTCAAAAGAGGGGCAGGGGCTTTCCCTTCCTGAGATCAAAACGAAGCAGGAAGGTTGGGTTGGGTGGAAAGAGCCCCCACTTCCTAGCCACTCTCCACAAACAGAGATGAGGCTAAGACAGGCAACACTGAAGGGGCCAGGCTGTTCCTGAGGCCTCTTGGCCCAGTCCTGGCACATGCTCACTGAGCATCAGCTACTGAGCAAGGTAGCTTTGTCTTCTCTGATCCAAGGGGTGCTTTCTCCTTTCCTCCTCACCATGTGCATCCCTCCCTGGCTCTGATGGGGCCAGGGGCTCTAGAACTCAGCTCTTCAATGAACCCTCAAATATGTGGGCAGGATGCTGGATCCAAGCCATGTTTCCTCCACCGAAAAGCTAGCAGTAGGGAGGAGAAAGCACTTTGCATGGAGGGCAGTAGCAAGAGGAAATTAAAAGGCTATCTGGAGGGAGTGCCCATTGCTGCTGTCATATTGGGGTCATCTAGCTATCATCTAGGCTGGGGTGGGGATCAAATTGCTACCCTCTCATTCTACTCCCTATGGCATCTTAGCTAAGGTGTAATACTCTTCCTCACCAGCCTGTTGCCCTGGTTTTGGCTGCAAAAGCCCCTTTCTTACCTAGCAAAACCCACCTCAGAACTCTCAGTTCAACCCAATATTTCAGAAACTGCAGGAACAACCTTGTCTCCCTCTGACCCTTCTCCCTCTGTTGGCTTCTCCCATCGGACTGCCTCCCCCACCCCTGCCAATGCCTCATCAATTTCCCCTAGTCACAAAATCCCAACCAAACGGAACCTACTGGGAGAACTCTTGGGCCAATAGAAAGCCATCTTTTCAGACAGGAAAGGGTCAAAACTGAGACTCCATAACCCAATCCATTGAGATAAAACTAGAAATTGATTTTAATAGGTATTGGTTTTATAGAAATGCTGATTTTCAGATTTTCTAAAGTGAGATTTTTGGCTTGAGTTCCTTTTAAAAGAGTTTAATTTGTAGTCTCCGGGTACTAATCTTTGTTTTAAAGAACTTGAAATCCTCCGTTTGCATAGTTGTACGAAAGGCACTGTCATGAAGGTTAGAGTAGATAGTGTCTAAAAATTAGGATTAATTTAAGAAAGTTGCACTGTGCATGTCAGTTACAGGAAATGAACAAATTGACAGCATGTGATACACGTGTCATCATGTCACACCACAGATTTCCACTTAAAATGTTAAGCATTTGTTTCTGACCTGGTATGCTGTCAGGCCAATTTACTTTCTAGGAAGAAATAACGATCCAGGTTACAGTTCATTTGGGGAAACTTGCTGGAAAGAATTCCATGGGCACCATGGGGACTACCACCTTTCATGACTGTAGCTCCTCTTCTGACAGAACCACTTGGTGCTGCCATGATTTTAGAATGGACTGACAAGGTTCTGAACTTGGGGCTGTTTCTACACACGGGCTGCAACATCCGGAATGATACTTCAATCTTTTCTTGACTTTTTTTTTTTTTTTTTTTTTGAGACAGAGTCCCACTCTGTCACCCAGGCTGGAGTGCAGTGGCACAATCTCAGCTCACTGCAACCTCTGCTTCCCAGATTCAAGCAATTCTCCTGCCTCAGCCTCCCCAGTAGCTGGGATTACAGGCATGCACCACCACACCCAGCTAATGTTTTGTATTTTTTAGTAGAGATGGGGTTTCACAATGTTGGCCAAGCCTGGTCTCAAACTCCTGGCCTCAAGTGAGCTGCCTGCCTCAGCCTCCCAAAGTGTTAGGATTACAGACATGAGCCACAGTGCCCAGCCTATTTCAATCTCAGTTTTCCCCAGAAACTGTAAGCCTCATGAGGGCATGGCCTGAGTCTCTGTCATCAAAGCCTAGGATGGTATCTGACACATAGTAGGCCCTTCCAGGATCTCTCTAACCATCTTCTGTGTAGGTAGCAATCTCAACAGTTGATTTCAAATTGGGTCAGGACAATTCTCTGAACTTCATGAATATGCTTATGTAATTTTTTCCACAACTCTTCTATCATGTTATACTTTGGATCTCAATCATGTATTATGATTGAAAGACCCTACCCTTGAGTTTTCCAGTTATCACAGAAAACAATCCCATTTCAGAGCTCTTCTTAAGTCCCTGGCTGTGGGTTCCTATTAGGTCTTAAATATCAAACACCATCTGACCTTACGTCAATCATCTGCTTAATTAGGTTTACGGTACTTGAAAGTTCATGTTATTCTGATTTTAGATGATATGTTTCTGTAATTCCTTGTACATATTTAGCATAACAATAAAACAGATGACATTATTGAGCCACTATATACCAGGCACTGCATTAAGCATTGTCTATACATTATTCCATTTACTCCTCAGCATGATTCTCTGAGGTAGATACTAGTATTGTACTTACTTATTTTGTAGGAGGAAACCAAGGCTCACAGAATCTGAGTATTTACTCAAAGTCACAGAGCTCCTAAGTGCGATAGCCAGATTTTGTCACCAAGCTGGTTTGCTGGCAAAGCCCATGTACTAATCCACACTGCCATACTACC